CCTCCGGCCACCATGATTAAACGGGGCTCCTGCAGCAAAGCGGGGCTTCTCCTCCCTCTCTCTCTCTCTCTCTCTCTCTCTCTCTCTCTCTCTCTCTCTCTCTTACAAGGTAGACAAGGCAGGGACGGGGTGTGTTTCTCCTCCTCGGCTCCCCTCCCCCTCGCTCTCCTTCCCTCCCTCCCTCCCTCCTTCTACCAATGCCAGGTGCCTTCCTTGGGCGCTGCTGCATCATCAAACCGGCTCGTTAGCGGCGATGTAAAGGACACTCAGGTAATACTCGGGTGCTTTTTTTCCCATCCCCACCGTGGATACATACACACTGTAGAGGTGACACACTTTAGGCCTTTCCACACAGCCATGTAACCCAGAACATCAAGGCAGAAAATCCCACAATATCTGCTTTGAACTAGGGGCCCTTCCACACAACCCTATATCCCAGAATATCTGTTTTGAACTGGGTTATCTGAGTACACACTCAGATAATGTGGGATTTTCTGCTTTGGTATTCTGGGATATAGGGCTATGTGGAAGGACCCTGGGTTATCTTGGGCCCTTTCCACACAACTGAATAAAATCCTACATCTCACTGAGATATATGGCAGTGTGGACACAGGGACCTTCAACACAGCCCTATATCCAAGAATATCAAGGCAGAAAATCTCACAATATCTGATTTGAACTGGGTTATCTGAGTCCACACTCAGATATTGTGGGATTTTTTTACCTTGATATTCTGGAATACAGGGCTTTGTGGAAGGGGCCTCAGATAACCCAGTTAAAGTATTCTGGGATTTTCTGCCTTGATATTCTGGGTTATATGGCTATGTGGAAGGGCCCTGAGCCCACACTGCCATTTATTCCAGTTCAAAGCAGATAATGTGGGATTTTATTCAGCTATGTGGAAGCGCCCTTTGACACCACTTTAACTGTCATGGCAGAACGCTATGGAGTTGTGGGAGTTGTAGTTTGGCGAGTGACCAGAGAAGGCTAAAGACCTTGTAAGGTGACAACTCCCATAATTCCATAGCATTGAGCCATGGCTGTTAAAGTGTTGTCAAACTGCATTAGTTACACTATGCAGATGCACCCCCAGTTGGGATAAAGCTGGAAGGCCTTTCAAAGGCAACAGCCACTTTTGCAGAAAACTAAAGCTGCAAGGGTGGTTGGCTGAACTGCCACTCAGGCTACCTGGAGTGTCCAGTTTGACAGGCGGTTTGAAAATGCCAGGCCAAGTGGTTTGTCTTGGAGAGGGAAACCAAATAAGCTTGGTAATTGAAGGAGATGAAAGCAGAGGTTTTTGTTTTTGTTTTTTGTCTTCCCCAATAACTGTATCATAGTGGGAGATCTGGGACTCTTTGTGATAGAATAAAAATTGTAGTGGACATCTACTGTATCACTTTAGTAGCTGAATAACTTTACCTTGTATCCGTCTGAAGATGTTTTGGCAGTTAAGTGAGTTTGTTGCCATTATGATTTTGTAAGGGCAAATAAATGTTAAGGAAAACATTTTTGGTTGTTTCTGCTATGATTGTTACATTCAGAATGAAAAATGACTTGTTACTGCAAGAGGGTGTATGAGAGAAATATTTTGTAGCAAGATTGTTGTAATATTTCTTCCAAAGATGTAATTTCATGTAGCTGAAGTTGGATACATGTGATCTTGTTAACATCCTTTGCCAAACTCCTGCTTTTAAAAATGCTTTATGTTTTTTGTGTTCCAGGTTCTTCCCAGTTTCAATCATTTTTAAAATTCTGGCTATTAGAGCAATGTTTGTATGCATGGCAACATTTAGTCAGAATCATATTTACATCAGTAAGAAATTCCTATTGGTTTGTTTGGAAATATAATTATGTTGTTGGTCCCTACTATTGTTGGTAATACAGGGTCAATATCCTTTATATGAAATGCTTGCAACCAGAAGTGTTTTGAATTTTTTATATTTTCAGATTTTGGAATATTTACAATTGTATATATTGTATGTACATGAGATATCCTGGAGATGAAATTCAAGTCTACACACAGAATTCATTTATATTTCATATATACCATGTTCACATAGCCTGAAGGTAACTTCAAACAATATTTTTTAATAATGCTGTGCATGAAACTAAGTTTGTGTGCATAAAATCACCAGAACACAGAGATGTCACTTTTTCAGCCTTCCATGTGGACAATTTTGGATTTTTGGAATTCCATATAAGGAATGCGAAACTGGCAGTTTTCTTCTCTCTTCCTATTTTTCTAAATGTGGAAGTAATCTTATTTTTCATCCAAGCCTTCCTTGTGTTAGAGATGTTGCATTCTAATCACAATGTTTTGTATCTGTAAAAATATGCCAGCCTCCTTGTGGGTCTGAGTCCTCCACCAGGAAAGGTCAAATTGGAGTCACTTAGCCCATGGCCTTTCAGACTTGGTCTTCTTTCCACAAGTACGTCACTTGGCCACTCTTTGAAAGTTGCATGTTTCACATTTTAAAATCTTTTTTAATGTTAATGTTTTTTCCTGTATCTTTTAACTTGGTGCTGTTTTATGTAATGTAGTAATTTCCTCCCAATATTATTGGTGGGCATCTCCTCCTGCTTCCTCTTCCTTTTTCTCCTTTATTCCTCAAGCATATGTCAGATCTTCTCTGGAAGGCTTCAGAATTCCTTATTTGTGAGGTGTCCCCAGGGAATGAACAATTTGTGTGGTGCCCCCAGAGAATAGACCACCCCATCCAGATTATTTTGAAGATTTTTTTTTCCAAAACCTAAAGCATTTTATAAAAAGTTACGTTCAAAAAGTTATTTGAAGGCTAATTTTTTCAAGTTGAACAATTTTGGAAAACTACTATAGCATAATGGCAGAACATTTGCTTTGTACTTGTCCTTAGCATTTCAATTAGTCAGAACGATCTTTATCTGAAATCATGGACTTATCATTAAGATTAGGTGATGTTCACTGAGATGAACAAATAGTTTGGGGTGCATTAGGTACTTAATAATTTTCCCATACCTATTTTGTTATTTGGTTCATATTTAGGTGGGGGGGGGTGTCTGCTTATTGTACTGTGAAGGTACATATGACTGTTGTCTGGTTAAGGGTCTTCTCTGTTGTGACTCCCTCTATGAGGAGAAGGCTCTCCATTAAAATTAGGCAGACTCCCAATATTGACTGTTCCCACTGCCAATTAAAGTTCTATCTGCTTCCCCTGGCGTTTTCTGCTCATTTTCCTAAATGTAACTCTTACAGTTGTGTGTATTCCTTCAAGACACCTGTTACCTTATGGCAACCCCATAAATTTGAAAGGGTTTTGATAGGCAAGGAATATCAAGGTGGTGTTGCCAGATCCTTCCTCTAAAATATACCATAGAGCACAGGGTATTTATTGGCTACTGTTCAAGCACTAACCCATGCTTACCCTGCGTTCTTTCATATTTTTGTTTGCACTACAAATAAGATATGTGCAGTGCGTATAGGAATTTGTTCATATATTTTCAAACTATAGTCTGCCCCCAGCCCCAGCCCCCCCCCCCCCCGCCCAAAGCAGTCTGAGTGACTGCGAACCAGCCCATTGCTTTAAAAAATTGAGGTTCCCCGCTTGAAAATAATGGTTTTTGCTGGGATACACGTTTTTCATGTTTTTAAGACAGTTGTCAATAGACCCAACACACTATACTTCCCCTCCTCTGATCTCTATTATATTTTTTAAAACTGTATATAAGCCCTTTTACTTCAGACCAGTGAGATAATATGTACAGAGAATCATGTACTTTACCATAGTGTTTAATCAAAAGTAAACATTCTACTCTCTGGTTTCTAATTAGTGAAGAAATGAACAAGGTGCTTACAGGCTGGAATCAGTTATCTACTTTTATGGGTTGTGAAGTATGCCAGAGCTAGGATGACTATGTAGGTATCACAATTGGTGAACACCTCATTTAAGGGAGAGGATTAACCTATCTGTTTTAAAAGAGCCACATATCTTAAGAAGATTCATTGAGGTTCCGAAGCATTGTAAATTATCCCCTAGTCTTCAGTATACAATTCTAAAGAAAAATCCTAGAGCCAATCATTTTTTTCCATTCTGGCCCGGATTTTGCCTATACATTCCTTTAATTGCCTTTGGAAATCAATGACTTAGATCAGAAAATTGCCATGTAGAGTTTAATACTTTAAATGCTGTTAAATGTTTATACTGTTTTATATATGCTGTATATTTTGACAGGCATCGAATTTGTGCCTTTGTTTGTAAGCCACCCTGAGTCCCCCCTCGGGGTATAAGTAACTGCAATAAATAAATAAATAAATAAATTAGGTTCTTGCAGATCTCTCAGCCATTTTTGGATTTGTTGATTTAGTTTATTTTCTGACTCAGTTTGGATGGTAAGCATACCATTATAATAGGTTGACCCTAACTGTAGAGAAAGATTCAGAAGGTAGTGCTGTATAACTTCTCTTCTACCCTCTAGGCATGGCTATTTAACATGCCTCGAAGTTTTTCATGTGCCCCAACTTTTTAAATACCCTCATGAAACTTCTGAGTTATACCATTGAGGAATCCGGATGGTATGCAGATGATAACAGCCCTGGCTCTCTTTTTTTCCAATCCCATGGTAGTGGTGCAAAATGTAATTAGGTGTCTAAAGTCAATTTTGGTATGAATGAAAAATATAAATGCCTCATCTAGAAAGAAGCTTAATCTTAAAAAAAAATGGGCAGAAATTGATAGAGTTATACAGTTGACCCAGGCTGTGATAGTACTCCCTCTAAAGAGTCTGATTTTCAGTTTGACAGTTTTTCCATCCTCAAAGTTTAGATGGTACTATTTGCAGGAATGATTTTTTTTCCAGTTTTAGTTGGTTGCCAATTGTAACTTTACCTAGAAAGAGCAAGAGAGGTGACTTTGATTTAGTAACATATATCTACGCTTTTATATTTTTAATGGGCTTTACTTGGAGTACCTCTTGAAGATGGTCTGGAAACTATATTGCAAAAGCTGTAGATGGTCTTTGATCAGGTTTTACCTATTCTGTATCACTTACATTGGTTGCCTCTCTGTTTCTGGGCCTAGTTTAAAATGCTACTATTACCCTTCAAAACCAGGTTACCCGACACAACACTTCTCGAGCTATCTGATGTGTGAGTCCAACAGAAGTTTACTTGTCCAGTGTGAGACGAACTGGTACCCAATAATTGGCTACAATTGTTTCTTTCTTAGAAACTATCCATGTGGCAACAATTGATGATGTATGGACCTCAACCATTCACATATCACTTTTGAATAGCA